ATGATGATGAGTGGGAGGAGCCAAAATGACACATGAGAGCCACCCGGAGGTGATGACGCTCTCGGGGCTGGTGTGAGGACTTCCTAACCATCCTCAGAATCTGTCTTTGTGCTGAGCTTCGGTTCACTGCAAATGGCCCGCCGGGTGTCACTGGTCCTCACTGGGCCAGTGGCTGTGACCCAGCTTTCATTTGGGAAACACTGACTGCGGTTAGTGTCCAGTGTTAAAGGGGCTGTTGAAAGAAGCCCTCATTGTGGCACCATGATTCCCCCAGAATGCATCTATGGGGCCACTTCACAGCGCGGGGATGAATGTGCCTACAATTCTGGAAATGGGCTAAGCGCCCCCACCCCCCTGCTCTCTCTCTCCCAATCTATGTGCCTCCTTCACTGTTATTCAGGGGTCAGTGGAGGTGGTCGCCCTGGCAACAACACGCTGGTCTTTTATCACGGGCTAAAAAGAAATTAAGCAAATAATCCACGGGACACAATGCAACAGACTGAGAAAGGGAGCGGAGGGTTTGCAGAGAGGGGCACAGATTTCCTTCTGTTTTTACAAAACACGTGGTCACGTGACCACCATAATAACAGACCTATCTACTCTTTAAAAGATGACTGACGGTCATGTCATTTAACCTGCATTGTGTACCCATCATCCAAGACGCAACTGCAGCCTTGAGTGGATACACTGCAGCAGGCAGAAAACGCAAACCGTCTTCTCGATACGTGATATTAAATGGAGTCCACACCCATTTGGAGATGCGCAGGATGAAATCTTTTGTTTTAGGATCGTAATCTATTTGGCTTTTGGCTGCTAACTGAATAACCGTGTGTACGGTAGCAATAGCGACATTAGCCTAAGTGGCCCGTTTTTAGCGCATGCTAACAGCTGCTGTAACTGAAGCAGGCCTCAAGGAACTCTGTTTGTGTCATGTGACCCTACTGTCTAAAACGAACACACCAATGCACGGCACGCTACCCATATCGAGTGGCCGATGTCTTTTTTAGCGTCCTGGTCCTCAACATGACGACTGTACACAGGGTTGCCAACTCTCACGCATCTGGCGAGACTCTCACGCTCACGCCAGAAATCTGTATAATTCCATTATAAACCTAGAATTAGCTACATCAAAAGCGGCGAGGTAGTTTGCAAACCCTACAGTCTATTTGCAAGGTAATAAAACTTACATATAAATGTGTGTGCATACTTGTCTCAAATTGAAAATCTCACGCTAGCCAGCTGACTAAAGTTGGCGAAATATATAGTATATATAAATATATAATAATATATATAAAAGTATATAGTTCTGGATTTTTTTACTGATGCCTTCAAGTCGCCGTGACGACTGACAGCATGTGGTACGTAGCCTAACATGCTAAGAAACCCAATCTTGCTGCAACTGCATGTTGCTATGAACCATTTAGCACCCGAGGTCACGTCTCTTCTATGTGAAAGGTCTTCCTCAGGGGGACAAGAACAGCTGTGGCCAGATCTGCTGGCTGAGGTCAGGAGTCCTGCACGTCCTGCCCTGTTATTCCACCTTTTTGGGACCTCCCTCGTCTTCACTCGTTACATTGCCCTGACTGGAATCTCCGGTTCCCCCCCCCTGTGCCGTCGTCAAGGCTGCCCGTGAGCTGAATGGAGAGGAGAGCGCAGCCTGGCAGGGCCGTGACCGGAATGCGGAGCGGCCTCCTCGGGCCCACAGCGGCCCGGCGCGAGGCTCGTGAGAAACGGCGAAGGCCTCTGCTTGAGAAACAGCCGGTTTCCAACACAAAGGCACCTCTGCAATTTACGACTGAATCACACACGGGAGCCGTTTATCTCATATTTGCCCTGATTAAGTTCGGCTGGGTTATAAATTATCGCACTAAGGGCGCGGATTCACGCGGTGACCCACTTGACTTCACTTTAACAGCTTTGACGGCAAAGGGACCTCCGTGTTTGAAAGGGGTGTACATTACCCTGGCATGTTTATGTGGGTATGCCGTCCTCAGGTCGTTTATATACTTCCCCTTTTACCGTTATGTGATTATTTCATTAATCTAGCCCAGGGTGGAACCTGTGAACTCTACCTATAAAGTTAACAGTCTCTCACACAAAGCCTTTACGACACCTACTGCCGTGTACTTTGTCCACAGGCTGATAAGATATTGTACGTCACATGATGATTCAGACTAATTAAAACTGATTGCCAGCCACCGTAAGACGAGGGAAGTTTGTGCACAGAGAGGGAGCATACTTAGACTTTGGGAGAGATGATGGGTTGCCGCGGTATTTCACATGATAAAGCCCTTCAGTGCTCATACGGGACTTGGAGACGCCAAATGCTCATTATTATAGGAATGAATGACGCTGAAAAGAACAGAGCTGCCTGCTTACGGTGGGTCACGTTCACCGACCCACTCCCACGCGTTTCACGGCCAGCAGGGTATGCATGAAGAGCAGGTCCCAGGCAGAGAGCACAATTCTGTTCCCTAGGCAACCCCGAGAATGCAAGACGGCAACGCGCATCCACCCCGCTACACACTGGAGGATCTACGGAGGCTCACACCTGCCGAACAAACAGCTCACAGGAATGTGTCACAGTTGTTAATAATTTAGGATACACCAGACATGCGATTGTGTGTGATATACTCATGGGGGTCTCATGCCTATCCTGGAAGCTACTGGGCGCCAAACAGGATGGCGTGCCAATCCATTGCAGGGAGCACAGGACCACACACATGGCGCCGGGGAGGAGACTCTAGCCCTGATCCCAGAACTGTGAGGCAACAGTGCTAACCACTGCACCACCCCCACAGTGAAAACCTTTAAAAAGTTATTCATTTCTGATTGCAAAAAAAACCCATCCATCACCCATAACCACAAACCCAGCAGAGAGTTGTGGTGAGTCTGGAGTCCATTCCAATGAAGAAGACAGGGGGCGCCCCCTACAGGATATGCCAGTCCATCACAGGGCACACGCTGTGGATTATGAAAATGCGGGGAGAGAATTCAAACTCCATACACAGAGACTCAAAGCCGCCACCATCGGGTACAGCTGCAGTGCAAACCACTGCGTCACCATAAGTTTTGCCAAGGCAGAAGTTGTATTAGTGTGAAAGTCAGGGCGAGTTAACTGGAAAACAAAAGATATCTGTGAACAGATCTCTAAAAAAAACCCCACTGCTATCTCTAAAAGGAAAGGGTATGGTAGCCTGTGTTTTTAGCATCTGCTGTTGAATAATGAATCATCTGAATGTTAAAAAAAGACCCCATATTACAAGGAAACTGGAGCTGCTGCGAGGTCTTTAATATTCCTGCAGTTAAATATTGGGGGACATGCTGCACGTGCGACTACTGACCTGTCCTCATGTTTCATTTCAGCGATCTTTCAGTACTGACTGTACACTGTCTCTGCAGCAACAGGCAGACATTCAGATCTTTGATCTTCTCAAGGGGTTTCGCCCCGGTGGGGTCTAAAGAGATCAGACGCGGCTGGAGGGGAGGACAGGCCAGGCTTCGGCGCCAATCGCTCGGCGGCTGCGAGGTTTGATGGTGAGCACTCACCACTCTGATGCTAAGTGACATCTTTGAGGACCTGAGGATGACCGAGGCCTTTGAACGGCGCGGGCAGCTGAAGATGAGTAGGTAGCGGAGGAGTCGCCATGGCGAACACCTGGACTTCACCTAAAATCCTACCCCCCCCCCCCCCCCACACCAGGAGGAGGCTTCAGTCCAAACAGGGGCAGCCAAGTCCAGCACAAGATACCAATACTGAAAAGGTCCTGCGGTACCGCATTTTTGAAAGCTGTTCGCTAATACATTTCTTTAGTCGCGGTACTAATGACACTATTATAAACATCGCTAATGCTAGGTTCCAAAGTAAACCCAAGTCATTTAATATAGTGCAGAATCCTGCCTGGTCACAAGAGGGCAAACAGATTGGCTACATTAAACATCATCAAACTAGCATCTGTACCTACAGGTTATAATGCGACGCTGTATTTCAAGCAGTCAAATAATCAAGCACATGCTGTGCAGGAAGTGCTTTTTATATGTTTATCGAGCAGATGAATGGAAGTGAGCAGAACAAGCTGCCGTAACCTTTATGGCCGCTTATCTCATTATCTGTTCCCGATTTTTTTTACGCTGTAATGGTTATAAGTTTGATAGCAGAAAATCGTTTCACGGTTTTGTATGCTCATGTGCTTTATTCCATTCACCAGAGCAGTGCCCACTCAAAATCCATATAACCAATTGTATCCATACTGATCCCCCCCCCTGCCCCCCCAGCACCCAATACTCTCCTGTACGTGGAGGCCTGCTTTTATGTATTTTTTTGTTAGTTTCAATCTTGTGATTAGGATCATGTGATTTCCTTGATTTCTATGTTCCTTTATCATTAAAAGACTCTTTTAGTTTCAGTGATACGATTAAGTGACATAAGTGCATTAATTACCATGAACGATACTTGTTTTTTTCCTGCATTTGTATTGTGACATTAGAGTGGCCAGCAGTGATATAGAGAACATCCTGTGTAAACTCCCAAATATCCCTCGGAAAGACAGGCACCGGAGTCTCTGTGCGGCAGACAAGTGTCGAAGCTGGAAGACCCATTGCGCTGTTTATCTGCAATGTTTATCTGGAATGCATTACTGTCATGCTGACCCCTTGATGTTCTACCCACAAGACTGATGTTCGAGTGTAGCGGCCGCTCGGTCTCAGATTAGCGTCATCAGCAGATATCAGTGTGCTCTTCAGGGCTCTGATCGTCTCATGAATAACCCGAGTAGGCAGAGTTAGAGGAGTGAAGACCTGGTTGTTTTGCCAAAGGCAGGTATCCAAGCAGAGCAGAAGATCACTAACAGACTATAATAAGGTGCGTTGAGGATCACGAGGAAACGATAAACACATCAGACTTTCCCACCGTTCTCGGCCGATGGCCCGGTGAAGCTTAATTGATTTTTCTCTCCAGTAAACACAGACAGGACTAGTGGAAAGTGACAGCTGACAGAACAGATTTATTTCCGAATGCCTGGAGGACTTGTCTGCCAAGAGGTGACAACACAATTGACAGGATAGGGGACTGAGAGTCAAGTCAATCAGAAAGCGAGCTTGAGGGATCACTGGCTTCCTGCAGGAGGCGCTGTCGCACAGGTGCCTTACAATAAAGAGCACTCCCCATTTACACCCCCGGTCCTATGCTCTTATCTACAACACTGTTGCATATGAAAATTAGTGCAGTTTGCACGTGGTGCGCTCACAGTAACACTGCAAGGACGCTGTTTACGGATCCCATTAAAAATGCTCATCGCCGTAAATGGCGCTCAGTGTGGCCACGACTTTGTGATTGTGCACTGATGGAAAAACACGGGCCACTCTGAGGGGACCCGGCACAGTGGCCACTGTGTTGTGTCATTACGTAAGGCTGCGTATTGCCAGTGGCCAGTCACAGTTACATAACGGTGCCACTATAAAACATCGGGAGAGCGTGAAATTAGACCTCAATCCTGATTATTACTGTGGGAAGAGAACACAGGGCCTCATCCTACAGGACTCGTAATAACTGTCATTTCATGGTTGGGGTTTTCATTTAGATCTCATATATTTTATTTATGAGATGCACAAATTATACATTCGTATGTTTTCATCCTGATAGCAGAATATGACCCATTCCAGAGGCGCAGAACCATAGTCTAGCCCCAGTGGTCCTGCTCTCTAGATAACCTCAGTTCACTCCCTAAGTTCCCCCAAGAAATCCACACCGTCCCGGTCCAACGCTCCGCTCCACTCCTCGTCATGTTTCATTGGCCGTCCCCTGTTTCCCCAGCCACGGAGGTTGTTTCTGATGTACGTACGTCTGATTTACACACCGTGCACTGTCTGACAGAGAACTGACTGGATTTGCAAAGCGGAAGACAAACGATAGGGCGATGCCTTGGAGGATGGCGAGGATGGCGAGGAAGGCGAGGAAGGCTCACAGGCCTGCAGAGTGAGGTGGGACGCGGCTTGCTGTTACCAGCCGCTGAACGGAAGGTTCTATGGAGAGAAGAAGAGGAAGAAGACAGAGAAGACAGATGTTAGATGTTAAATAATTCTGTCATTGGTAAAATCATGTTGGGGCTCTGCTGTCAGACTATAAGTTACCTAGTGACACAAAACAAAACGACCCATGAAAGTGCTTGACTTACATTCTGCAGTGAGGTACAGTAATGTTTGGATGGATGGATGGATGGAGAAGGAGATGAGTGCTGCTTACAGCATCACCGGTTGTGCCTTTACAAACATCAGGAAGTGTTTCCATGGAAACGTGCCACGCGGAGTTCTGGTTGGACAGGAAGTGCCACTTGCCAGCGGGTCAGCCCACCCCCAGTCCTCACAGATCAAACGCTGCCTCGGCATTCATCTGCATGTGAAGCGAGAGGGTCGACAGGGGCTAGAATACCCAGAATGCAAAGCGGGAGCCGCACATCACAGCCTCACTATAAAAAACCCAAATAACTGAAGGGATACATAATGTTCAGCTGACATGAAACAGAATCGCGGTTTTACCACAGTGCTTTTTCCGTCATTTAAATGCAGACACATAAAATATTTGATCAAAGTCTTCCAAGTACATTTCTTAAAATGATTAACACAGGAATATACTCTATTTGTACAGGGCACACGTATATTTACACTAATATATGTGTAAACAGGCCAATGGCCTGCAGAAATGTGATAAAGTGAGTATAGCTTTGCTTTTTGGGAGGAAGATGAATAGTGCACAAAAGTACCAAGAAAAACCCAGAATTATGAAAAATTTCATTTAGCATATACTTAGAATACTATACATGAACATTTCATGTAAAAGTAACGAGGAAGAGGCTTAATTACTACACAAGGGAAAAGTCTTGAAGAGAGAATCACAGACTAGCTTTGGGTGGGAACTTCTGCAAACCCCTAAATGACCTTGCTGCTCTTCTCCAACCACAGCCCAGTGTAGATGTGACACATCTCAGGTCACAGGAAAACACCAGAGACTTGGTGCCAGATGTCACTGTACTAATCGGGGCACCAGAACACTCAAGAGCTCCAGATTATTATCTGGGCAAGCAAACATTTTGAAGAGCTTATTACACTGACAAAGATCAAACTGCTCTCCACAGAAGATCATATACAATGCCCCAGTATGACCCTAAAATGGAATAAAACGGTAAGCATTGTACTTATTTTCAGGGTAAGTGAGACATTGTGTTCATTAGCCAAGGGCCCTGTTGGTCTCTGCTGGTGTGTTGTTGAACAAAGTACTTCTCATCACATAGGTATCTGTATCGATCCATGAAGTCGTGTAAAGCCCATTTAAGAAAAGCACCACCTTACAGTCCTATACTGATGTAGCATGTTTATATTTCAGCTCTGTCACAAGCACCATCTTACAGTCCTACTGATACAGCGTGTTTATATTTTAGCTCTGTGTAAAGGCTTTGCATTCCTCTTAAGTTCTCTTTGGTCCTGTTTATTGGTCTGTGGTTCTATATGCTCGTGGGAGTTTTACTTACATAAAAATGTTCTGAGGGCAGAAGGAAAAACGATTGGTTGAGAGAGATAACCAATGAGATTGTATAGAAGGTGGGACATCTGATCGGTTGGTCCTGCCTCCTTTACTTACTTAGACTCATTTCCTCTCCATTTTGATTGGTTAGCACTCTGAACTAATTTTTCCTTCTGCCCTCAGAACATTTTTGTACAAGTAAAACTCCCATGAGCATTCTGCTTATACCTATTTAATTCCTTGAGGTGTATGGTCCTGTTAGGTGCTGAATGGTTCTATATGGTACCATTAGGTGCTCTGTGGTTCTGTTTGCTGCAGTCTGGTTCTCCCTAGTTCCAGAAGCCTGTAAATTATCACACCATTGTACATTGCGAGGTCTAACTGGAAAGTAAGTGAATTAGGTTGGAAGGAAGTGAAGGGCTATGAATCATACTTTTATAGGAAAAAGATGGAAGTGCCTTTAAGCAAAGTCCTTCTGTTTTGTTAATTAATGTAGCTCACATAGCGTGCTGGGGTCACGGCAACCATTCAAGCTTTAAAGACCAGAGTAAAGTCACCAGGGACTTGTGACCAATGGGGATCTAAATGAAGGCCGTGATCCTTTGGGAAAAGCTGACTGCTGGGAGCCTCAGTGTCTTTGTCTGCTTTTATTTTGCAAATAAGGAAAAGGGTTATTTACGTGCTGAGAAGGCGCTGGCCCAGACGATGTGATCTCTTTCTTACACACTGTTCACTGTTGCCTACAAATGCACCCTCTTGAAGCACGTCCTACACCAACCACATGCCAATGACACACACACACACGTCCGGTAACAGTGACAACCTACCTCAAACAGAGGTAACGCCCATAAACAGGCTGCATGGTAGATAAGGATGTCTCCATGGAGAGCTGAACCTCCCTCAAAGCCTGCATGTTGTGTGATGTCACTTCCTGCGAGTACAGTGGCTTTCTTTCAGACCCTTCCTGTCTATCTCAACCTCCGGCTTTTTCATGTCTGGTTTGTCGATTCCATCGCATTCTGCCAGATCCTGTCTATGCGACACTCTGCCCTGTAGACAGTGATATAATGGCCAGATGTTGGGCCTGCATGTTGTGCAATGGTTATATCGACATGGCATGTTATGCACATGCAATTGTCAAATCGTAAGTTTGATTCAGCTACAGTATATTGTGGGTACAACTCCTTGTTTCGTGAATATCGCAATATTTGTCATAAAAAAATAAGAAAAAATTATCAAATATCGCAATGTGATTTTTTTTTTTCCGCCCAGTTTCGCCCAGCCTGACCAGATACTCATCAGTATATACGGATCGGGTTCTGCTGCACAAAAAGCATGAAAGGCAAAATGTGAGAAAAACCCTTTCATGTGCATCTGCATCAGGTCAAAAAAATTTTTTTTTTCAGTCAACTCAAAAGCAATTTCTAAAGAAAAAAAAAAATCAGCTATTGCAATAACGCCTCCACTTCTTGAAATGACCTTTTTTCCACTGACTATAAACTGATACCACTACTGTATATGAATTACTGCTGCACCACCTGTATCCTCCATCACTGCCGTTCTTCTTAATAACATTGTGGTCAGCCTGCCCTCCTGTACGATGTCGAGAGAGAACGACTAGCTGGGTTCTGTGTGCAGCAGGGGATACGGAAGACAAACAAGCCCGCGGTTATTTGTTTAGTCGGTGGGGGCTGTGTCCTCCATGCGCAGCCCCCGTCTGGTCCCTGCTATTGAGATGCAGGGGGGGGTCCATCTGGGTCCATCTGCGTAAACTGTTGTGACTGATTCATCCGCTGGTGAGCAGGGAGGTTGCAGAAACACAGACCCCCAGTGACACCAGCAGAACAGCTCGGCCCCTAGCGACCGCGCGGGCGTCCGCTGTGAATCACCCAGAATCTTCAGCAGAGATAGGTTAGCAAATAATGACAAGTGCTATGTTTGCTGTTATGAAAGCAAGAAGTGATTTTAAGTGGCTACGAACACAATGGATTGTAGAGCTTCAGTAATATTCACAAAACACCCACTGTTGGGACGCCACTGTGAACTAATGTAGTATTGTACTGTATTATTGTACTGTAGCAAAAGGTTCCTAATTTAGGCCCCAGAACATTCTCTGCTGATGCACCCAATAATTGCAGAAATATACAATAGGTAAAATTTTTAGCTTTTACAATAAATATCAAAATGTAATCATGGCATGTGACTGTAAAATATCCGGAGAGCTTCGTCTTTCTATAGATGCACCATCGCAAAAACATGGAGGGTAAGCGCATTATCGGATGGCTCTGCGCGTGAGTGACCACAGATGCAGAGCCTCGTCATCTTATTGGCCAAGGGTGGGGGAAGTTAGGGTGGAAAAAACAATCAGATCTTACTCACAATGGGAAAAACAATCTTGCTGATGCGACAGTGGTCTTCCCTGAATCAGAAACCCTAGTTCCTGTCGCCCCTGATCTAATTATATCCCCTGAAAGGAAGGAAACATTTCGTAACAGCGACTTGACTGCATTCAAAGACATCTGTAGCAGAGGCCTTATTACCTCGTATATGTTAGAAGGTGCACCAGTTCATCACCGGCTAAGTATCTGTGCAGCCCAGCCGGACGGGAACACAGTGCATCACCCATTATTCTCAAACTCTTCCCCCTCTCCGTCTGACTGTTAGCCTGAATACTCAGCCTTGCGATAAATCCGGCCTGAAGGAATGGGACTAGATTCCAAATCTGCTCCCCGGAGCGGGACCCTCACCGCGCTTACAGGTGACGGCGTTCCGGGAGCTCGTGATGTTAACATGGACATACAGAAAAACCTCATCATCCGCAGGAGCAACAGCTTCCGACTTAATTAGACAAAAGCAAACCGGTGCCGCAGGAATGGAAAAAGATTAGCAGCTGTAACATTGTGAGTGCGAATGGAGGGACAGGACCTCCCAGGGGAGAGGGGAAGAATGAGAGAGACATGGGGCCGCGGTGCAAGACAAGCCAGCGCAAACAAAGGGCACTTTGTAAGGGAGGATTAGCTGTCCGCACTTAAACCTCAGGAGGGTAAAAGGATACATCCACCTGATTTAATCTGCCCCATCCAGATCACCGTCGCTGGGCCGCGGGTACCTGTACACCTTTCAGGACCCTCGCCGGTTGTGAAGCCGCCAGAGGTCAGACCCAGGGCGCTGAATTCCATACCTCGGATGGCCTGCATCTATGGAGATATTTTAGTTCCTATTTATGGAAGCGGAAGGTTTAAGTATAAGCAACACCCTTGCAGAGCCAGCCAACTATCCATCCATCAATCAACCGCTTATCCTGTCTACCCACAGAATATTCACTGCTCACAAAGCTTCAAAATAACCCCAACTTTCAGGCATTCTGGGACACTTGCGAAAACCCCTAAAAAGTGAATAACCTAAATTATGAGATCAATAAATATATGAAAATATATATTGACGATTAACTTGATTAGTTCACTGAAACATATAACCCTTTACCTGGAAAAATGCATAATATTTGTCAGTCTAAACAGAATCTAGCTCACACATTATTTTAAAAGTCCTTTTGCACCCTCTGGTGGTCACACTGCAAAAAAACAGATGTTCAAACTTTCACGGATAAAACCTGGTAAAAATGAATAACACAAAATAATTCGGCTGAATTTTTAAGAAAGGTTATATTTAAAACACCTTTAATTACAGTAAAAATATAAAATATCTTGTAATTAACTAGTACTAGTAATAAACTAGTTCTACCGAGCAGCAGCCACCTGAACAGTTAAAGACCTAACAGGCAAAAACATTCTCATGTACTTCCGTAGTAATGAATACAGCTTTTTCATTTAGCAATTAATTTACATGAGGTGGAAAAGCCTTGTCTAGGATTTTGCCATTCATTCATACTGAGATTTCCTATTCCCTTCCTTCCAATCACCAACCTCATTCTCAGGTTTCCTATCCCCTTCCTTCCATTCACTAGCCTCATTCTCAGGTTCGCTATCCCTTTCCTTCCATTCACTAACCTCATTCTCAGGTATTCTATCCCCTTCCTTCCATTCACTAGCCTCATTCTCAGGTTCGCTATCCCCTTCCTTCCATTCACTAACCTCATTCTCAGGTTCGCTATCCCCTTACTTCCATTTATTAACCTCATTCT